ACATCCTCTATCAACTTGTTCCAGCTCCCCTTTTAGTATCTATCTCCTTTGGTTGAGAAGTTACACACACATACACTGAATTTCATCTGCCTTTTTGCCGCCAGCCCATTCAGTCTTGTGAATTCTTCCAGCAACCCACAATTACTCTTACTACCTAAAACAAATTAGAGTCACTGTCAATCTTTGACATTGCCTGAAATAGGTTTGTCTATGAATATGTTGAACAGAACAGATCTCTGGATGGATCTGAATTACAGTAGTAAAGTCTCCTTGACTTCAAGGACTGACTGTTTCTTCCAGTTCTGTTTCCTATTCCCAAAAAAGGTTTTTATCTTTTCCCTTCTATGGTAGCTACACAGTTACTGTATTTTAGATATTTGGTCTGCTGCTAAACTAGAATATATGTGGTGGTCAAAGGAAAAGATAGCAAAGAGTCTACAAGCAGGTATGGAATCATGGGAGTAAGGAGAGATGACAAAGTCAATATGATTTCCTAGGCTAACTCTCCTAGCGCTTTCAAGAATAACTTCTGCAACTTCTGACTACATCTAACCAGAGTCAGAGAAAGAGCATTCCACCTTGATTATTGGGGGAAAAAAACAACATGAGGCACCTAGACCTCCACCTTCTGAGATGGTCTGTACACCCTCTAGGCTTAAGGAGTCACAGAAGCCCAAGTCTGCTGAAGGATCCACAAAGCAGCACAGCCTGGCCAGCCTGGGTCTACACCCCAGCACTGAAACTGCTCACACATATGCTGAGCTGCTGAGCCTCTTCATACACTCTGGGTGACAGCAGAGTTCCGGTTCCCTGCCACATGCAGCTGCAGAACAGCTGTGCAGAGATGTCCTGCTTACCAGGCTGAGCCAACACACTCTCCTCACCAGGGACGGCCTAAGGCCAGAGTCAAAAGGTGCCTTTCCCACACCACCCCAGCAGAGACCTGCCTAGGTTGCAATGGCTGGACTTTCCTCTGCCTTCATGCCTCACATGTACGGTATCTCCCTTTTATTCTCCACCCTGAGTTTTTCTCTCTTACTGGTGACAATCAGTAAAAAACTGATTGTCAGCTGACAAAAACTCCCTGGCAGCCAGTTTCAGCAGAGCTGGAAAAGTTCCAGACAATAACATCGTACCTCACTGGCTGGCATCCCACAAATGTGTGTCTGACTCTAATTTTGTTCCCAGGCTCCTTGTTTTCCTTTCCTTCCCACCCCCAGTCCAAAAGAAAATGAAAGTCATTGGAGCTTATTCTAGGCCAGTTGGTCACTGTAAACAGACACCAACCCTGCTCATAGCCTAGATACATGAATACTTACATAGGGACAAGCCTAACATCCTCGTTTTTTATCTGGATGGAAAATACCACACTGCCCAACACTACTGCAAGCAGTGGTAAGTACCACCTACTATGAAATTCTCTGTCCTCATCCTTACTACCCTCCTCTTCCTCCACTGGCCTTTGGCTTGAATCCTAGTCATAGTAAAGTCCTCTTCTTCTGAGCACAACCATTACACTGGCATTCCTGGGAGAAGGGAGTCCTCTTCTGGAGAGCAAGGGTATATAGAAGATATAGAGAGAATATACAGGTTGCAGAGGAGCAGGTTGTGGCCCAGTAGAATCATAGAATCATAGAATATGCTGACTAGGAAGGCACCCATGGGTATCATCAAATCCAACTCCTGGCCCTGCACAGGACACCCCAAGAATCACATCATCTGCCTGAAAGCATTGTCCAAATGCTTTTTGAACTCAGACAGGTTTGGTGCTGTGACCACTTCCCTGGGGAGCCTGTTCCAGTGCTCAGCCACCCTTTAGGTGAAAAACTTTTTCCTGATGTCCAGTCTAAACCTCTGCTGACTCAGCTGCAAGTCATTGCCTCAGGTCTCGTCACTGGTCACGAGAGTGAAGAAATCAGTGCCCGTACCTTTGCTTCCCCTCATGGGGTTGTTGAAGCCTGTAACAGGGTCTCTGCTAGGTCTCCTCTTCTCCAGGCTGAACAAACCAAGTGATCTCAGCCCCTCATGAAAGGTTTCCCCTCCAGACCCTTCATCACCCTTGTGGCCTTCCTCTGAATGCTAATAGCTTAATGTCTTTTTTGTATTGCAAACTGCACACAATATTCAAGGTGAGGCTGCACCAGTGCAGAGCAGAGCTGGACAATCCCCTCCCTCGACCAGTTGGCGATGCTTTGCCTGATGCACCCCAGGACACGGTTGTCCCTTCTGGCTAACAGGGCACTGCTGACTCATATTCAACTTGCCATCGATCAGGAGTCCCAAGACCCTTTCCACAATGCTGCTCTCCAGCTTCTTGCTCCCCAGTCTATACACACAACCAGGATTTTCCTGTCTCAGGTGAAGAATCCATCGCTTGCCCTTGTTGAAGTTCATATGGTTGGTGATTGCCCAGTCCTCTAATTTGTCCAGGTCTCTCTGCAGGGCCTCCCTGCCCTCGAGGGAGTTGACAGGTCCTCCCAATTTAGTGTCATCAGCAAACTTACTTAGTTTTTCTATTTTGATTCTATACACACTGCTGAAACAGAGAGCAGAACCCTTGCCTTGGCATCCCTCTAAACATTTTGTGTAACTGAGGGTTTAAAGCTCCTCCTGCACCAGAATAGAAGACAAGCTGGGTTGAGAAGGTCCTTAAGGAGGGGTAACAGTTGCTGGTTTTCTTAGGGGACTCTGTGATGCTGCTGGAGGCAGCTGAAGGGGATTGGATGCCAGGGCAGATCTCACCCACACTTCCTGGGTTTGGTTGTGTGGGTTGGATTACACAGTTGGATCACACTGTCTCTGCAGCTGAAGAAGGTTTCTTCAGGGGGCCAAACCTGGGAACAGTGCTAAGCCTAAGGCCTGCTCTATTTCCCTGTGAAATTACTTGTTTCAGGCTATTGTAGAGTTGCTCAGCAACTCTTTTGTCAAAAGCAGCTGGTGTGACTTCTGCACTGCCTTGGGGCACAGAGCCTGCAGGGAAGTTCCTCTCTGCAGTATCGGGGACATCTTCTTCACCTCAGCCTCTGTGGGAGAAAAGAACAAATTTATTTTGGGAACTGAATAACAACAACAGTGAGTGAGTGAGTGGCTATGTAGTGCTTAGTTGCCAGCTAAGGTTAAACCACAACAGTCTCTTGCCAGAAATAGTGCATAGCATTTGTCTCCTGCCTGGCTTCTTGAGGAGAGAACTCATGCTCAGAGTCCCAGACATCCCACTCTTGCCCTGCCCATAAACCCAAGGGAGGTGTTAACAGCCATGTTCAGCTCTGGTCAGCTCTGGCTGGTCCAGGGCTTGGTATAGTTTTAAGAGTGATACCAGGTGTGGTCCCCTGGGAAATCAAAAAGGGACACCATAGTTCTCTGGTCCTTGGGCTTTGATGGGAATGGCTAATGCAAAGTGAGAACTTGTCATGTGGAAGCACAGACAAGTCCTGAGAAAAACTTCTGAGGGACAATGATTCATGTTAGATATCTACAGTTCCCTCTCTTCCTGTCAGTCAAATCCAGATCTAAATCTTTGCCTCGCATATAAAATCCTTAAGGGTTTTTCTTATTGCTAAACTACTTGAAAATTAAACTTTATGATGAACAAGGGGCAATGATTAATTTTAAAAATCTACAGTTTTCTCTCCTCCTGTCAGTCAAATTCAAACCTAAATCTTCACCTTGCATACACAAAATCCTTAAGGGTTTTTATTACTGCTCATTTTTATTACTTTATTTGTAGTTTTCTTCTTAAAACTAGTTAGAAATTATCTAATAACTCTGTTTGCCCAGATCAACACTCCATAAAACCCTCTTAAGAATTGATGGCCTCATAAGGTAGCAGTAAAACATACTGAAATTGTATTTTTTTTAGCTTAATTGAGCAAATCTATACAAGAAAACCTATGCCACTTTACATACTTGTTGAAAGTAAACTGCAAGAGGGAAAACCCTGATCTTATAATCTTTGACAACTTGATATTCCATAATTATACTGGATTTTTTTCCCCTTAAAAATTCTAGCTGTTTCTCTTGTCTTTTTTAATTGTCTCTGTGTTTCTAAGGTCCCCTCACTTTCAGAGATATGTGTTAAAACAAATTTGTAACAGGAATTTTAATTTTTTGAGTTTTTTGGAGGGGTTTTTTCTGATAACATGGGGAAAACCTAAAGAATGTTTACAAATTTAATATTTCTTGCCTTTGTCCTTGTACTCCACTTCTACCTTTTTTTTACATTATACTTTGAAGAAGAGAGAGAGAAAGAGCTGTACTTCAGAGTGAAAAATCTTTATACTTTTGCTCTTCCTAATCTGAAAAGCGTAATGGTTTTATTTTTAAGGGAAAAAAATACTTTTTCTCATGAAACACTTATTATATTCTACAGCTTTCTATTACAAGAGTTGTGTGCTTCTATACTGTAGAAGTCTGACTTGGTTGTTGCTCAACAGTATCATCCTAGTATAGAATCATAGAACCATAGAATCATAGAATCATAGAATCATAGAATCAGCTGGGTTGGAAGGGACCTCCAAGATCATCAAGCCCAACTCTTGATCCACTGCCACGGTGGTTACCAGACCACGGTACTAAGCGCCACATCCAGTCTCATCTTAAAAACCTTCAGGGACGGTGAATCCACTACTTCCCTGGGCAGCCCATTTCAATGCCTGATTATCCTCTCTGTAAAGAATTTCTTCCTAATATCTAACCTAAACCTCCCCTGGCAGAGCTTAAGACCATGCTCTCTTGTCTTACCTGATAGGTGCCTGGGAGAAGAGACCAACCCCCACCTGGCTACAACCTCCTTTCAGGGAGTTGTAGAGAGTGATGAGGTCTCTGAGCCTCCTCTTCTCCAGGCTGAACAACCACAGCTCCCTCAGCCTCTCCTCATAGGACTTGTGCTCCAATCCCTTCACCAGCCTCGTTTCTCTTCTCTGGACCTGCTCCATGACCTCAATATCCTCCCTGAACTGAGGGGCCCAGAACTGGACACAGTACTCCAGATGTGGCCTCACCAGCGCTGAGTACAGGGGAAGAATCACTTCCCTGGACCTGTTGGCCACACTGTTCCTGATCCAGGCCAGGATGCCATTGGCCTTCTTGGCCACTTGGGCACACTGCTTGCTCGTGTTTAGCTTCCTGTCAATCCAAACTCCCAGGTCCCTTTCTGTCTGGCTGCTCTCCAGCCACTGTGTGCCCAGCCTGTATTGCTGCAGGGGGTTGTTGTGGCCAAAGTGGAGGACCCGGCACTTGGCCTTGTTGAAGGTTCCAACCTCATCCCATTGGAACTAGTCCAACTCTCCAGCCTGTCCAGGTCCCTCTGCAGAGCACTCCTGCCTTTCAGCTGATCAACATTCCCCCTCAACTTAGTGTCATCTGCAAATTTGCTGATGGTGGACTCTATTCCCTCATCTAAATCATCAATAAAGATATTAAACAGAACTGGGCCCAACACTGATCCCTGGGGGACACCACTAGTGACTGGCTGCCAACTGGATGCAGCACCATTCACCACCACTCTCTGGGCCCGGCCCTCTAGCCAGTTCCTAACCCAGCAGAGTGCTCCTGTCCAAGCTGTGGGCTGCCAGCTTTTTCAGGAGTATGCTGTGGGAGACAGTGTCAAAGGCTTTGCTGAAGTCCAGATAGACCACATCCACAGCCTTCCCCTCATCCACCAGGTGGGTCACCCGATCATAAAAGATCAGGTTGGTCAGACAGGACCTGCCCTTCCTAAACCTGTGCTGGCTGGGTCTGATCCCTTGTCCATCCTGTAGGTGTTGTGTGATTGCACTGAGGATGAGCTGCTCCATAACCTTGCCAGGCACTGAGGTCAGGCTGACAGGCCTGTAGTTTCCCGGGTCCTCCTTCCGGCCCTTTTTGTGGATTGGCATGACATTCGCCAACTTCCAATCATCTGGGACCTCCCCAGTGAGCCAGGACTGTTGGTAAATGATGAAGAGTGGCTTGGCAAGCTCTTCTGCCAGCTCCCTCATCACCCTTGGGTGGATCCCATCTGGTCCCACAGACTTGTGGGGATCCAAGTGGCTCACCAGGTCGCTGTTTCCTCCTGGGTTACAGGGCTATTCAGATTCTCTTTCTACAAGCTCCAGAAGCCAGCTATCCTCAGGACAACCTGTCTTACTGTTGAAAACTGAGGTAAAGAAGGTGTTAAATACCTCAGCCTTTTCCTCATCTTTGATAACTATATTCCTGCCCATGTCCAATGAAGAATGGAGGTTTTCCTTGCTCCTCCTTTTGCTATTGATGTATCTGTAAAAGGACATTTTGTTATCCTTCACAGAAGTGGTGAGATTAAGTTCAAGTTGTGCCTTCATCTCTCTAATTTTCTTTCTACATGACTTAACTATATTCCTAAACTCTTCCTGAGTAGCCAGCCCTTTTTCCATAATTAGGTAGGCTTACCTTATAGTTCTTACCTTAAACACAAGATGTCAGGTTTTCAGCTCAAATATCTCTAAGCATGTTAAACATGTTTTTGGCATTGGATAAATTCCAGTATTACTGAAAAAAAGAAAATAACTAAAAAATTAAGCAATGATTGCACAATCTCTTCGACTGATATGAAAAGGCTTTGATCGTTAGTTCTTTGTGTTCCTAAATTACTGCCATGATGGAGATACCAGACTAGGAACTTGGACTGACTCTCCATATCCTGAGACCGGCAAAAGGCAGAACATAGCACCATCATTTGCTCTTGGTAAATTTTATTTAAACACTGAAGGCCTGCTAAGTCCCCTCTATGTCCTTCTGAAAGACTGTTAAAATGGGAGATACAGATCGAAAGATGTATGCAGAATTATGGAATAAAACAAAAAATCTTTCTTTCTAGATAAACTCTTTGAAATCAGGTATTTTTTAAAATAGTCTATGGTCTGTTGTACAAAAGTAGCAATGGTTCTGAGGCATGAAGCAGGATCTAGACCCAAATGTTCCTGAAGCTTAAAGCTTTTAATGTACAGCGCTGTGGATCAAAACTAATGCTACAACGGAAAAGTGCTTTTAATCTTAATCCTGTGGTCTCTGATTATATCCAGCTCTACACACACACGACTTGACTGCCAGCTGAAGGCACAGTTAGCCCTTGAAGGAGCATGTTCCTGGTTTGAAATGGCAGAACGACACTCATATCTGCTGTGCTCTCTTAACAACTGCTTTACCTTTTAGTGTCACATGCACATGCATTTAATAAAATTGCTTCTTTGCATAAGCTCCATGTTGATGTTACACTAGGTTCTACATTCATTAAATTTTTTCTTCTAGTCAACTGATGCATTTCACTGATTATTTTGATTACAGATCTCAGAGGGAATGGGATTCAGTCTTGGTAAATTCAGCCTAGCAGAAGGAAAGCTCTCATACTGAGTTTTCATATATTGTTTATACTATAATCCAGAAAATGTTAGGTATTGAACTTCATATGTACCAAATGCATATTAAAACAAAACCCCTTAATATTTGGTTTCCTCTAGGATTGAGCTAAAGCTATTTGAATGCTTTAGGATTTAGAATTACAGTGCCTGCCTGTCTGTAGCTAAGGCTTTTTCCCCCTAGCACAGCAGAGACCAGAATTAAAGCACTTACAGTGGTTCCTTACTTTGGTGCAGAGCTTAAAGACGATCAGTGGAGGAACAATAAAAATACAAGTACAACAAGCAAAACCTGAAAGCAAAAATCCATAGCAGGTAACAGCACGATCATTTGATATATAGCAAGATATCAAGAAGCAGCATTATGTCCTGGAAACATGCATGTTCAAAAACAGAGAAAGAAAACTGAGAAACAAAGAGATCTGTACTGACAAAGTCACAGAAGTGGCTATTTAGGAAGCAAACCCGTAGAGGTGTGGAGGCAGGACTTCCAAAAAAAACAAAAAAAGAGGCAGAACAGGCAAACCACTTGTTTCTCTCCTGAATTCTCTGTAACAGGATTTCCTTGTCACATCATGTGGAGCTATGTAAATATGCCCCCTTTGGCTACGTGACAGGAATCATTTCCTCCACCATGCCTGCAGGGAAGGAAAGCAAAAAAGAGAGGTCAGGATCTTGGGGATTTGTATTAGCAGATAGCACTTAGTCAGGAAAAGGATAAAGATTACAGGGGAAGTGGTGCTATTCATCTGTAATCCTTTTCTGTCACACATACTTTATATATTAATAATAAAAATATGTGGAAAAAAATTAAGCTTTACCATTCTTCACTTTCAATTTCTCATTGGTACTTAATGCAGGAATAAAGATTTTTAAATGTTTCTAGAACAAACTCACAAGCTGACATTTCGTTAACATCCACAAATGTGAAAGCAAAACTTTTTCTAGCCAAGCTTTCAAATGTTTCTTTGCATATCTTCACCCCAAAGAAAGAGACACAGTAAAACAGACATTTTAAATCACGACAAGTTTATTTGTGTGTTCTTAGCTGTGTTTTCTCTACTTCACATATTAAATTATGAATAATAACTCAGATTAGACTAGTTACTCTAGCTTTAGTATCATTTCACATTATACCACACAACCAAGCAGAGTTAAAATGGTATGACTGTGTACGTAGGGAATCTTTTCAGTTTTTGAACTGAAAGTTCAAGACATCCATTTTCAGCAGCCTGAGAAGGGTAGACCTTGCCTAAATGAAAGCAAGGCAACAGGTGTGCTAGAATCCTTTAAGTGCTGTAACCCCATTCACATGGATGCAGTTTTGCCAGTTCAAAAGCTTAAGCTTTCTAAATAGGAAAAAGACTGCTCACGTGAAAAAAGTATCCAACATATCTATATCCACACTAGGAAATACACCAATATTACTCCCAGGGAAAAAAAAATTCCACTGCAAGCAAAGTTGTTAACCCAGAAAAAGCTTCCTTAATGGTCTTTTTGCAGGAATTGCTGTGATTCTTCCCATTAAGAATTCTGTTGAGTTCCAGTGCTCCAGCAGAGCTGGGACCCTAATTCATGCTTAACACAGTGACACAGAAAAAGCCCAGATTTTCATAGCAGCACTATGCCTAAGCATTGAGATGACAGTGAACAACTGTTTTTATCAGCTCTGGTCAATACACAGAAGTTTTGTTGTTTACAAATGGATTCATAAAAACCAACACCAGAAGGGACTTTTCTAATAGATTTTAGTCTCATTTTCTACTTATTCAATGTATACAGAGTGCACTTAATGCATCTTTGATAGATAATTTCTAGAAAAGCATCTATTCTTGAAGACTTTAGGCACTACAAAATCTGTTACATACCAGACGTGTGTTGAAGCATACTAGTTTATTTTTTATTATATTAAGACATACTATTGAAACAAGACTCACATACTCAAGTTAAACTCCTTTGTAAAACTGCCCTGTCCTTATTGCTATTCATTAGCTTTTAGTCACTATACATTTACACCCTGCTCCTGAAATTTTGAGCAATGCCAAGACTCACATGAATCCCCATTGAACTCTACCAGAAACAGCCCCACCTGATGATCCTTCCTTACTGATGGTTACTTCTTGAATTCAATTACCAGTTTTTCAACTACTTCTGTTGCAATGTAATGTGTTTTAAGCAATAATATCATGCAGCACTAAGATAAACATTTTACTGATTTTTAAATAGAAGCATGCTTAGACAATTTTAGATATTTTATACCAATTTCTTGTCCTGTTGACATGACTAAGGAAGCTGGGAAGATACTATCTAGAGGCACATTGTGTTAACATACACTGCTAACTGATTAATTTAAATAAACACATTTTGTTTTGGTTATTTTTTCATTGGCATTGGTCCAGGTTATACCAGTTTACCTTCACTAAATTGAATTGCATCAATTTAATTTCACTGATTTAAAATCATGCTGTTAGTGCTGTGTTCAGATCAATTATTAGCTTAAAAAAATTTCCATTTACCTTATAGTTGTGTCTCAAAGGTTCCACAGATACATGTTTTCACTGGAAAATAAGAAGTACTCAATAAATGCACTTCCTTAGTATCCTCAGCACAAAGCAAGCCTACAGCTGTTTTACCTATGAATTGCTTATCCAGTAGTCTTCTAGCATTAGACTTTTTTGCAAACAAAAAAATTTATAGGTGGTAAAAACTTAAAGACAAAACTGATTGCAATTACACAACTGCTCTCTTCTCTTTATTTTTTTTAATCTCTCTTTAAAGTAGATCAAATCACTCCAAGTAGCAGATGAGGTCACAGTAAGTCAAGCAATCACAAGTAGCCAGATACCTCTTGACCTAATTAATATAAAGAACATTATTGTATTTATATTTACTATTTCTTTAAAAAATCTGCCACTGTTTATGTTAAAAGTTATGAAGTTATGAAACTTTGACTGGCATTAAAGAACATGATGGTGAGAATTTTCTCCATTAATTTAATTCAAATTTATCTGAGGTTAAAAGTTAAACCAATGTTTTTTATCTTGGTGCTTTGCAGCTGCATCAAATGAGTTACTCTCAGTTCTTATCCTCATGAACAGAGATTCATGTAGCAAGAACCCATCACAACAGTTGGTTTCTCAGCAGACAGCCATGTGAGTCGCTTCTTGGGAAGGCTCCTGTAATAGCTTGGCATTTCAGAGATTTTTTTTTTTTTATGTTGCTGATAAGCATACCACAACCACAAAGCAAACTGCAGGGCTTTTGCCAGCAGTCTCAGATTCCACTCTGACAGCACAAGAATATTGTTTTCTGTCCAGACAATATCTTCAAATGTTACATTTTTTCCCCCAGTTATGCTTCCCTAGGATAAGAAGTTTACTGATGCCCTCTCATTACTCTAGGGATTATTTTAACATTTCCATCCAGGACTTTATCTGCAAACCAAGCAGCTAAACTCATTGTTAGGGCAAGATGCACTAATGTTGCTTCTAAAACAGTTACTAAAAAACAACTTTTGGAGGGAGAGTGCAAACAATTTTTCACCCATATTTATCAAGTTCCTAGCTGAACTTCTCTTTCAAAACATCTTTATTTTGCAGTCTGTAGATTTCTCTAACTGGCCTACACTTTTTAATAGTATTATTGGGCCTGTTTTAAAACACGACATGTTAGATAAGATAGAAGACTTTTAGGAACAGTTTGTCAAGGTTGCTGAGTACTACATGCAAAAAGGCACTTGATGTCATGTGTAGATTTATTACTGGTATATGTACAAGAGGATGGCTGTTTTAAGCTGTATACAGGAATTCCTAAGGCAAAATACATACCATTTCCCAAAAACATTTTTTCAACGTATGCAATCAAGCCTTTAAGAATCAGCCTTTAGCTTAAATGTGGGGGAGCAAAGAATGCTCCACACAAACAGTCCATAGCAAAAACATTGAAATTACCTTTCAAGGAAATAATTCAGGAAATCATAACTGAATGTCTGTTAATTGCTGTGTCTTAGTAGCCCTTCAGAAAAGTCGTGGCACCTGACACCGTGTTGTGTCACATATTGGATGTGTATAGCAGCAAGTAAAGCATTAAGTTTTGTTAAGGCAATTTGCTGTCTTGCCTGTTTCCATTTTTGATGCTTCTCAATCCCCACTGCAGTCAAGCTATCTATAGAATAATCAATTCAATGCATAGAATAATCAATATATCACTACTTTAATTTTGCAGAATCATAATTCAGCCTCTGTTTTTTCCATCCAACTGAAAAGATTTTTCTGAGCATGGC